AGTGCGGCGCCCGCACACCGCGCGGGCGGAGCGAAAGTCGGAAGACGGAAAAACACGCGCGTGACCGCGCGGTGACCCGCACTACGTGCGGACGACCGCGCGGCCTGATTTTCGGCCCGTTTTCGGATTTTTCTATAAATAAGCCCCTGTTTTGCCTGTTTTTGGGGGATGAGCTTAGAGAGATAAACCCTATTTCGATTTTTGAGAGCTTTTCAAGCCTTGTTCTTCAAGATTAAGGGATTCTTTGTAAGTTCTATCTTTTTAATTAATGACAATTATTTCTATTCATCCCAATTCTGTTGATTCTTCAATTATGAATTGTGAGTAGTTTAATTAGGGATTTGGGATTGATGAAGGGGTTAATCATGATTGATGGCTAGATTCTTGTCGGTTTAATGGCATGAATGCCGTTTAATTTGTGTTTGAATAATTTAACTGATATCTTTTGTAACCTGGAACCGCGGCTAGAATTACAATTGCTTGTAGAATAAATTAAGAGAGATCTAGTTTATTCTTGGACACATTCACACACACTTAATCGTTCGCTAAGAGATTAGTAACGATTAAGGGGCCGTAAGCTCGCTCGTCTTGGCAATAATTTAGGATCTTGTCACAAGAGAGATCAGCCTGGTCCCCTAAATTATTGTACTCTACGCCGCGAGAGCGGTAAGAACTTAGTAATGATTATTAGCTAGGCTCAATTAAATTAAATTCATGTAATTAGACCTGATCTGCCAGAAATCTGGTTACCCCGGAATCAATCCCTGTTTCCTTCGTCATTAATTAAGAAGAAACCAATCTTTTATTTTAATAGTTCATTCGCATTAGTTTAATTTTTATTCAACCAACCAATCTCGCACGACACATTTTTTTATTTTTAATCGCTGAATTTAGTTGATTCTTAATTCCCTTTTGTCCGTCCCTGTGGAGACGATACTCGTACTTACACCACTATTCTACAATCTTTTCAAGTGCGAGAAAACACACATCAGTTTTTGGCGCCGTTGCCGGGGAAGGTATGATGTATATGGTGAAAATTCCATGGATGATACACTTCCTGATGCTTTTGAAGACCCTCCTATGTTTGAAGATGAAGAAGAAGATAATAGTGTGAAGTTGTTTTTCCAAGAATACAAGAAAAAGTTTGAAACGGTACAAGCTGTAACTGATGAAGTCACAAATCACTGTGATCTTCATACAGAAACTCCCCAGCCGTTTTATTTACCATTAGTCTCAACACCTGAGGATGGCAAGGAGCAGATTAGTCATGACATTGATGCAGCCACTGAGGTAGGTTTGGGTACTAAAGATGAGTTGGGAAAAGATGATCACATGCTTCAAGAGAGTGGGGGCGAGGTAGATGATGTCCCTAACGAAGAAGTGCCGCTCCACAATTTCTTGGAGGATTTTAATAAGAAGAGTGAGAAAACGAATTGGGATGCATTCTTGGAGAGTGATAGCGAGTCAAGAGGAGGTGCTCAGAATTTTCATGGTACATTCGAGCAAGGAAAGGAGGCGTTTGTGATACATTTTGAACATGAGGATGAGAGGTTCATACTTCACTTCTGTGCTAATAAGGGTTATGAAGACCATGCGCTTCCTACGTGTTTTCAAGAATTTAAGAATCTGCGTCATCTAATGGCATTTGTTGAGAGGAAGCTGGAGATGTTGACTATTAGTGCACCACTGATGTCTTTTCTATTTGAGAGCATATGAGGAAGTTGCGTCGGGCAAACGACGTTAAAAATGGCGCTTCTCGGGAGGCAACCCGAGCTTATTTCTACTTTTGTTTTTGTTTTTGCTTTTTTGTGTTTGTGTTTTTGTGTCTGTTTTTGCAGCCCAGGGTCTTGCTTTGGGGATGATGTGACGAGGATCACTTGACTGAGTTTAGTTCTGCACCGACCAGCGCGATTCTATTTATTCGATGCGTAATGTTAACTTGAGTTGATTTTGAGCACGCGTGACCCTTTCCTCTTTACCCCTAATACATAATGCATATTTGGTCATCGAGGACGATGCCAAAGTTTAAGTGTGGGGGAGTGAATTGGGCATTCGGGCAGTAGTTGTTACATGTGATTTGCTAGAGTTAGCATGCGCAAGTGTTAGCTGTATATTCATAGGAAATTCATGCAAAATTTTTGAAAATTTTTCTTTAAACTGTGTCTTTGTGAGCTGGCTAGTGTTTTGACTATGCTTTTAGAACATCTTTGAAGTGTTTAGGCTTAAATTGCTTGCACTATAATCTAGTTGTTGAGAGGATGAAGGCATTAGTCACCCATTGAATTTTCCAATAATCATCCACCCCACCTGAAAGAACCCTTTAGGAGAAGCCATTTTGAGCCTGACCGTTCTTTGTTACCCAATTAATTAAGCTCCATAGCCAAATGGCATGTTTCCTTACCTGTGAATTTTTCTGACTTAGTCTTGATGTTTAGGGAATTAAGGGAGTAATTTGTTAAGTTTAGGGAATTTGTGTAGGAGCCATTTTTGGCATTGTTCCTATGCCCCAAATGGGGTAAGAGCAGTCACTTTTTAGGAATTTGATACTTTCAAGGATTGCATTGTAGGCATGGATTCACTTTTAAATAAATGAACCTTAATTGCTATTTTTCCTTGGTGAGGCCGAGATTAGAATGGGGTAATGTCTAGTGAGAATCCGAAAGGTGAAAAATTAATATAGCTAGACCTCTTACTTTTCGAAAAAGAGAATGGGAGCCCCGGTCAAAAAGCGTAAGATGAGACTTGGGTATCTTTCGAAAGAAACGGCGTTCTCGTGCCAACATGACAAGGAAAACTAAACTTAATCAATGAACTTGGAGGCTATTGAAAAATTAGCCTTAGTCCTCTGCGTACTTCAAGTATATGTCAAAGCAAAAATGTGTCGAGACGGTTTAGCTTAGTTGTACACCATGTCTACTCTTTGCATAGGTTTAAATGATTGTTCCTAATTTGTGGCTTACTGAGTTCCTTGTTCCTAAAAATAGCTCTGAAGTTCCTAAATACATTAAGTCTTTGTTAGAATATTCCTATCTCTCAAAATAAAGGGACTATTATTATTAACCATTCACCATCACATTCACAAGTCCTTCTGATCAGTAGCTAGCTTATTTGTGTATGCTGTCATTACTTTGAGGATGTTGTGAATAATTTTGTCAAATAGTTTAGCTTGAGTACAAAGGTGTAGTTTAGGAAAGAATTTTCTTGGTTTAGATTGGCTGTCCTGTGAATATCCCTTTAACTACGTGTGTATGCTAACTATTTTAAATTTCTTGTGGTGATTATCGTAAGTCCCGTTGTTCGATTTGCTTGAGGACAAGCAAAAGCTTAAGTGTGGGGGAGTCTGATAAGTCCGAATTTAGACACGTATTTGATGCGTGTCCGGGTCGGATTTTGATGGTTTTCCTGGCTTTAAGGCGTTGCAAGTCTCAATTTTGGCTCAAGTTGTGTTTAGCAGGCGTTGGATCGAGTTTCATTGCATTTGGAGTTGATTTGAAGAAGTTAGAGACCGACATCGGCGCTTAGAGAAGCAATCGGGAAGAGTTGGAGAACATTCGAGAGAGATTTGAGAGTTTTGGAGGCCACTGGAAGGTTCACGGCGAAGATTTGATGAAGAAACGGCCTTTGGATTGATTAAAGAAGTATCCGGGAGCAAACGGGGAAGAAAATAGCAAGAAAACGGTTCTAGAGCAATCCGCGCGCCCCGCGGTGCGGTTCCGCACGCCCCGCGGGTGATTCTGAGAGCAAGAATTCAAGAAGTCTGAACCGCACTATGTGCGGCCGAAACCGCACACCGCGCGGTCCAGAAATAGCCCCCAGAAGTACCTGCGCGGTTGCATAGTGCGGCGCCCGCACACCGCGCGGGCGGAGCGAAAGTCGGAAGACGGAAAAACACGCGCGTGACCGCGCGGTGACCCGCACTACGTGCGGACGACCGCGCGGCCTGATTTTCGGCCCGTTTTCGGATTTTTCTATAAATAAGCCCCTGTTTTGCCTGTTTTTGGGGGATGAGCTTAGAGAGATAAACCCTATTTCGATTTTTGAGAGCTTTTCAAGCCTTGTTCTTCAAGATTAAGGGATTCTTTGTAAGTTCTATCTTTTTAATTAATGACAATTATTTCTATTCATCCCAATTCTGTTGATTCTTCAATTATGAATTGTGAGTAGTTTAATTAGGGATTTGGGATTGATGAAGGGGTTAATCATGATTGATGGCTAGATTCTTGTCGGTTTAATGGCATGAATGCCGTTTAATTTGTGTTTGAATAATTTAACTGATATCTTTTGTAACCTGGAACCGCGGCTAGAATTACAATTGCTTGTAGAATAAATTAAGAGAGATCTAGTTTATTCTTGGACACATTCACACACACTTAATCGTTCGCTAAGAGATTAGTAACGATTAAGGGGCCGTAAGCTCGCTCGTCTTGGCAATAATTTAGGATCTTGTCACAAGAGAGATCAGCCTGGTCCCCTAAATTATTGTACTCTACGCCGCGAGAGCGGTAAGAACTTAGTAATGATTATTAGCTAGGCTCAATTAAATTAAATTCATGTAATTAGACCTGATCTGCCAGAAATCTGGTTACCCCGGAATCAATCCCTGTTTCCTTCGTCATTAATTAAGAAGAAACCAATCTTTTATTTTAATAGTTCATTCGCATTAGTTTAATTTTTATTCAACCAACCAATCTCGCACGACACATTTTTTTATTTTTAATCGCTGAATTTAGTTGATTCTTAATTCCCTTTTGTCCGTCCCTGTGGAGACGATACTCGTACTTACACCACTATTCTACAATCTTTTCAAGTGCGAGAAAACACACATCACGCACTGAGAGTGGAAATTGAAATTGTTCCCTTTGGCTCTCATGGTGAGTAATCGGGAAAAATATTCAAGGCATAATACGAATAGCAAAGGGGACATTGGATCCCCTTGTCTTGTGCCTCTTTTGTCCTTAAAGAAGCCTTACAACGACCCATTCAAGGAAAACGAGAAAGAGGCCATAGATACACATTCCATAATCCATGCAATAAATCGTGGTGGGAAGCCCAGACCCACACGGACTTTTTCGAGAAAGTCCCAAGAAATCTTGTCGTAGGCCTTACGCAAATCCAGCATAATCATGCACCTTGGTGAGATTTGCTTCCTTTTTTTTGCCTCCCTAAAGAAGAGGGCGGCCTTGTTTTTTTTTAAATAAGGATAATACAAACGCTAATGAAGGTAGAAAGTAAATGGAAAAACAGAAAAAGTTCAATGAGAAAAACACGAATGAAGATAATTAGTAACTTGTGTTGGAGTAGTTGAGCCAGGTTCGTTGTTGGGTATGCTGTCTGGTGTTGTGCAATCGCGTTTGCTGTCTGGTCTCAATAGTCATAGGTGTTGATTCATTGCGACTTTGGATTTTTTGGAAACAACAAACGTGAAGCCTTCTTCTTCTGATGGTTTGTGAGCCACTCTGTTTGATTGTTGAACCAAATGAATTTGTTTTTCCTGGGCCTTTTGCTGCATTTTGTGACCAAGCTTTTTTTGAAATAATTGAAATTCAGCTTTAATGTTGGCAAGGTAATTATGAAAATCATCTTTTGATTTCTCTCCAACTGTTGCTTGATCAACCAGAGTATCATTTTGTTTCGTCACATCATTGACAAAAACAGCCCCAGGCTTTTTGTTCATCGTATCTAAATTTTCAAGGCCTCTATCGGCCTCTCCTTTACCAATATATATAAGACCCTCGATATCAGCTTTAAATAACATCTTAGAAATGGAAACTATCTGAGAACAAGTATTCTCGTCCCAATTACAACATTGCACCACCATATCTGAAATAATTTCTCCATGTGCACGTAGCATTGTCCGCTGTTTGAGTGCACTCATCATTTTGATGGCTGCCGATAATCCTATCAAAAAATTCTCAATCCCTAATCCTTTTCAACCCTCGAGAACAATAAGAGACTCATAATTCTTCTCTATTATCTGAATAAAGCCCCCGAAACAATTAGAATCTGCTTGAACAATTAGAGAATTTCCAAATTCCAGTTTTTGACAAGCCCATTTATCCCTTAGAATTTTAAGGACAACATCTCTCAACCAATTGAGTTTTTCAAGATCAAAATCAATTGTTGTTGAAAATACATGCTTCATCTCAGATATTTATAAGCAATTGAAATCAACAACATCAAACCGAAACAATTTACTTTCAATAGTAAATTGAAAGCACTTTAGACAATGATGTTTACCTTCACCCAAGATGGTCCCTTCTGGAGCTTTGATGTATTGCCTCAAGTCGGTGATGTCTATCTCTCTAGCAAAGTCCCCTGTGAGTTCGGATTCCTTATTTTCCCTAATTTTTGATCCCCAAACAGATTTGTGAATTCCAACACTCCTCAAGCAGGTGTCCCCTGAGGTGTGAGTCTTCGATTGTCGTATCAAAGTTGGCCCCAGTTGTCGATTACTTCTCCAACAGCACCTCCCAAAATCATCCCTCGCCTTTTGTACTGGATCCCGTCTACATCGGTCATCCAATGCCTTAGACTTCCAGTCGAAGTCCCTGCTAAACTGGAGTCCGTCTCCTCTCTCCCCTCGCTGAGCACCAAGACACCGGTAGCAAATCCATCGGTGTCTTCCTCCAAAGTCGCGCTCCCAGCGATCATTCTGTCCCTCTGGATGTCCTCGTCGCACATAGCAGAAGTTGGGATGCCATAGGGAAGCGGCCCAGAGCTTCTCGCTGGGAAAATGTTATCAAACATTAGGCGGCCATCTACAAACGCTCCTTGGGCTTGATTAACCAACCTCGAGAGGCATGGGGTTAATCTAGCCGCAATAATTTTGGTAATAATTTTGTATAAAACATTCGTGCAAGATATGGGTCTATAGTCCGAGACACTTGGGGAGTGATTAATCTTAGGGATAAGAGCTATGACAGTGTGATTAATCTATTTAAGCAACTTACCCGACTGGAAAAACTCCTTAATTGCTTGGACTATGTCATCCCCAACAATATTCCAATTGGCCTTGAAGAAGGCCGAGGTAAACCCATCCGGCCCCGGTGCATTGTCATCTCCAATATCAAACAATGTTAGAATCCACACCGGAAAAGTTTGAATCAATTAAGTGCTATATTAAGATGTGGGCTACTCCTCCTATCAGGTTGACCTTTTAGGATGGAACCCCGAGTCTTAACATGGTATCAGAGACAAATTGATCCATGGTGTGGGTCCCCTTATGAAAAAATGACGACACGATTATGAAAAAATGACAATGACGAACCGACGAAAAAAAAAAGAATGACGGCACGATCCAGACGAAGTGTCTGGTCGTGAGGAGGGGTGTTAGAATCCACACCGGAAACGTTTGAATCAATTAAGTGCTATATTAAGATGTGGGCTACTCCTCCTATCAGGTTGACCTTTTAGGATGGAACCCCGAGTCTTAACAAACAAAGCATCTTCAATTTCCTTGTTTGTTATTGGAGCAAGTAGGCTATGATGAGCACTTGGCTCAATCAAAGGGCCGGTTCCTAAGACCATAGGGTCAAGCGGAGTGTTTACCGTATTAGTGCCAAACAATTCCACAAAAAAATTTACAAATTCCTTACCCACTTGATCTTGGGAAGTCGTGATAGTGCCATCTTCCAACATTATGGAGGATATGGCAATCCTTGCAACATTCCTCTTCACAATGGCGTGAAAATATCTTGTGCCCTTGTGTGGCTCTAGGACATGTGTGGCCTTGGCTTTTTGTTTGGATCTTCTTCTAAGCATATACTGTACTGTTTGGGTGAAAGTGCAGAAGTGCTTTTGAAACATGGTTTTAATAAAAAACCATAAGAGTCATGTAGTGAATGACTTTGAAGTGGTTTTACATAGTGGAGATTTATTTCAGTCTTTTGTGACATGTAATAAAAAACATGTCACGCATATACTGTACTGTTTGGGTGAAAGTGCAGAAGTGCTTTGACCAAAGTCACTCAACAAAGTCTATTGTAACTATTGATATGCATTTAGATGTCTAACATTTTATAGCTTTCTTAAAAGACTATAAATCTGAACACTTTTAGCTTGTACTTTACAGCCTTGAATGTACGCCAATTCCTTGAAAACCCCAATCATTATAAACATACTTTGCTGCTTTTCAAACAAAGCAAAATACTTTTATGTACCAATTCAAAAAGGAGTATAAATCGTTATCAATTTTTAGAAATCATTTCGAACCAGCATCGTTATACTACACATGTCAATGCAGGTTCAAGAAAAGTCAATCTGTCGTGACCCTACCAACAACTAATTCCAAAGTGCTGGAAAAATTATATTTAAGAATTTTTAGATTCATTTTTTAAAACAGGAACCTACTAAAATGGAGTTTTATTTTTATTACTATGACTTAGTCAATGTGTGTTTACAAAAGAAAAACTAATGATCCCCAAAGAGTATGTCTTTGTTTTAAAAGACAAACTTTTTTACACCGCATCGTATGTCTTCATCATATCTCATCATGACCATATAAGACACGAAACGTGATATAGGTGTTGTGGGTCTGAGGTGCCATGTAAGTCTCGATGTTGCAAGGTTTTTATCCCCTTGGCAACAACGCCTCCACCATAGAACAAGTGAAATGCTTCGGGATGTGGATGTCGGCCACGTATGGATCTTCCCCAATAACACTTCTCCTTAGCTTTTCAATCCTCTGCCTGAGATCTTTCACTACATCAGGCGTCGGTTCCTCACGTGAACGTCCACCGCGGGGCTAGACTTGCATAGAAGACTCTGCAACCCTCTCACACATGTGAGGTCGAGATTCAGGATGGCGCCCATCCAGGGAATCAGTCTGTCCACTCGGTCGACGGGAGTGACGAGATGAATAATCCCCTCCTTCCCGTGATGAGTGTTGCCACGGGGGGCTCCTTTCTCGTTCTCGTGGTTGCTTAACCCGTCGAAACACGTGATCGCTACGTGATTTGTCGATGTCGGTACGTCGCCCTTAATATCACCCAACGGACGTCTTCATTACCATAGAAGTGATGTGGCTCGAATGCTTGTGCATTGTTGATATGCACTAGTTTATAGTGCATAAGTGTATGTTTTTATATCGATCTTGTGTAGACTTTCCATCACTTTTAGTAGTTTGTAAGTATTTGTTTTATTTTAGTTGTAATTGTTTTTACCTTCTATTTCTAGCTATAGAATAGTGATAGAGTTTTTAGCAAGCAAAAGGGAAGAAAAGCTGAAGACAAAAATTCTCAGGAACACAGACCCGGTCGGGTCCCTTACTCGACCCGGTCGGGTCAGATTTGACCCGGAGCACCAGAACATGCTGCAGATTTGGAAAAGATCTAATTTTGGTCAAACCCGGTCGGGTCCCTTACTTGACCCGGTCGGGTCTGACTTGACCCGGACAAGTTAACGTGCTGAAAACAAGGAATCGTGGGAGATAATCTGATTTTGACGTTGACCCGGTCGGGTATGTCCTTTTACCCGGGCGGGTCAATGCCCCAGGGTGTTGAAAACACCTATAAATAACCCCATTTTCCTTCACTAAAGATCATCCCTTCTTTCCTATACTTAAGCTCAGTCTAGAATAGCATTTCTTTATATTTCTTTTAGCATGTTTAGTCTCCAAATGAGGAGCTAAACTTCCATTTCTTGGTTTTGCTCTTGAAGCTTGTTGATTATTAAAGTTGTGAGTTATTTTCTTACTTTCTCCTCTTGATTATTAATTCTTCCCTTAATCTCATTCTATATTAATGTTGGAGGGTGGCTAAGTGACGATTAGTTAACGTTCCGACATTGATTATTACTAGAAACGATCAACGAACCGATGGTTAAACGTTGATGGTTTCACAAGTAAGTAACTTCGGTTTATTAATGCACGGTCGTGATTAATAAACTTAAGAGGGATTAATTTTGTTGGTTAAACCAAAACCGTTGTGTTGAGGTTATCAATCTCAATTGATTTCATCAAGGAGTTAAGAGATTAAATGCTACTATTATATCGGTATACGGCGTTGTTCTATATTTGATTAATAGTAAGGGTTATTAATGAACGGTCGTTGTTAATAACTACCCTCGATGAATTGGAGATACTCCGCGATTGAGTATTCGAGAGGGGATAAGTTATGGATATAACAATGATCGACTAAAATACATCAATAAGTGGAAAGTAGCAAGACCAAGTCCCTTTTATTCTTGAATTTAATCCCATATAACTCGTTCATCTTCGTGTTTAATTTAATTAAATCACTCAATCCCAAATCCCCCCTTTTATTTACTAGTTACATAAAAAGAAGAGTTATTCCTTTCCCTGTGGATACGAACTCTACTTCACTATACTACGTATAAGTGTTGTATTGAATTTATTTTGAGTGCACTCACGACAAAGTGCACGTTAAATTTGGCGCCGTTGCCGGGGAAAGGCAATTGATTTTTCTTTTTATTTCAATCTAAGAAAAAGAAAAATAAATATATATATATATATGGTTCAAAGTATACAGATTTCTATTTCTGCTGAGCTTTGTAGTACATGGTAAAATATCGTTCACTGAACGAAATCACATACCACTCAAACCCCGAAATAGAACGAACTCTCGAGCGGTTGAAAAACAAATTTTCAAACTCCGACTCGGGAGAATCATCAAGCACTAGTTCTCAATCTAGCGAAACCGAAGAGCCAACCATTATGGCTCACGAAACAAGAACATTGAGGGAGCTCACGGCTCCGAACCTAAATCAACAACCCCTTTGTATCACTTTCCCAACTCTTGATACGGGGGTCACATTCGAGCTAAAATCTGGGCTCATCCATCTACTCCCGTCATTTCATGGCCTACGAGGGGAAGATCCGAACAAACACTTGTCGGAATTCCATATTGTGTGCACAAGCATGTGCCCTAATGGTGTTTCCGAAGAGCAAATAAAACTGAGGGCCTTTCCATTCTCCTTAAAGGACACCGCGAAGGATTGGCTTTTCTATCTTCCTTCGGGTAGCATCAATACATGGGCTCAAATGAAAAAGAGCTTCCTCGACAGGTACTATCCCGCATCTATCTCTTCAAGTCTCAAAAAGCAAATCAGCAACATTGAGCAAGCCGATGATGAGACCTTGTACGAATATTGGGAGCGCTTTAAGAAATTATGCGCTAGCTGCCCATATCATGGATATTCGGAACAAGATCTCATCCTCTACTTCTATGATGGGCTTGTTGATCAAGATAGACGCATGGTGAATGCGGCATGTGGAGGGGGTATTGTCAACAAAACCCCTTCTCAAGCAAGAGACCTCATCTCCGAGTTGGCCGAAAACTCGAGGCATTATAATGGGAGGTCATCATCAAAAAGAGTTATGGCAGCAGAATCCAACAATTCGTTGGAAAGTCAAGTGGCCGGCTTGACCTCTTTGGTTAAAGATTTTCTTTTGAATCCCAAAACCCAAGAAGTCAAGGTCTGCGGCATATGTTCAACACAAGGGCATCCCACCGATTCTTGCCCAACATTACAAGAGGAGAACCCCGAGCAAGTCAATGCTTTGGGTTTCCAAGGTCAAAGGAGGTACGATCCACATGGCAACACTTACAATCCGGGGTGGAGGGATCATCCCAACTTAAGGTACGGAAACTCTCAACCTCCTCAACAATCAAACCCTCCCCCTCAACAATATAAACAACAAGGGCAAACATCGAACTCGAGCATGTCCACTGAAGACATGATTCGATCACTGGCCATGAACATGGCTACGATGCAACAAAGTGTGACCCAATTCCAAGAAACGACCAAATCAAGCATCCACAATTTGGAAAACCAAACAAGCCAAATCTCAAATGCTGTGAGTAGGCTTGAGGCTAAGGATTCGGCCAAACTCCCATCTCAAACGGAACCGAATCCAAGGCAACAAGCTCACGCGGTCACTTTGAGAAGTGGCAAAGAATTGGTTATGGCTAAAGCAAAAGCAAAGAGCCATGTTGGAGAGGAAGAGGAGGATATCTTGGTGCCAAGCACAAATCCCCCAAATGAAGAGGAGAAAGAAGAGGAAGTCACACCTCAAAGGAAATTCCCACCACTCGATTCATACGAGCCGGTGCCACCTTTTCCGGAGGCTCTCAAGGACAACCGAAAATACAACAATGACAAAGACATCTATGAGACCTTCAGCAAATGTGAGGTAAACATCCCTCTTCTCAACTTAATTAAAGGTGTTCCTAGATTTGCTAAGTTTTTAAAAGAACTTTGCACAATTAAAAGGAAACACAAATTGAATGGCAAGCATAAAATCCAAGTAAGCGAAAGAGTGTCAGCCGTTTTTCAAAAGAAACTGCCTAAAAAGTATAGTGACCCGGGAATGTTCACTATACCATGTAAACTTGGAAATTCTAGTTCTTCTAGAGCTATGTTAGATTTGGGTGCATCAATCAATGTCATTCCATATTCTTTATATAAGTCCCTAGAGCTAGGCCCTTTACATGAGACGGGGGTTGTTATCCAACTTGCCGATAGATCCAACGCTTACCCCAAGGGTGTAGTGGAGGATGTACTCGTCATGGTGGATAATCTAATCTTTCCCGCTGATTTTTATGTTCTCGAAATGGAGAACGATAAAAATGCAGTCCCAATTTTGTTAGGAAGACCTTTTTTAAAAACGGCCAAAGCAAAAATAGATGTTTTTAGTGGAGTATTAACTATGGAGTTCGATGGTGAAAAAGTCGAATTTAATATCTACGACTCCATGAAATACCCCACCGATAATCACTCTCTTTTTGCAATTGACACTTGCGATACTTGGGTCCAAGATATATTTGAGGTTGAAGGGAAGGACACGTT